GGGCAACCATTGGGCGGTATATAAATAAATTTTATTATTATTATTATACCACTAGGGAGGTTTTTTTTAAATAATATCAGGAGTGAGTTTTCTTGGATCTCCCAAAATTTCTTACTAAAAAATTAGATGTAAGTTTACATAAGGGAATGTAATGCAATGCACTGAGACTGAAACTCTAGATTTGCTTACCAGGCCCTGTGAACTCAATAAGACTTATTCTTGCATATAAATGTATAGGATTGAACTGTAAGAGGTACTTTGTTCTTTTTTTCAAAAAATTAAGTGTTGCATATTAGGCTTATATACTGAAGCTGGGCTAAACAAAGTCTGCCTGATCAATACACGTTCAATACAAGAAGAGTCCCATCAGATGAGAACTCAGCTCATGAGATTTCTAGATGCCACCAAAAGAGGGGGAAAGCTGAAGGGGATAGACATCACACACACTATGAAGGAAATGTTTGCTGCCTATATGTACCTCCTTTCTCTTCTTAGTGGCTTTCAGTTCTTATCAGAATGGAGTTACTAGGAAGAGAAGGAGCTACCTCTAGAGTGGGGGTAGGAATTCTCAGGGCCGAACCAGATGGCTCAAAAGAAGTGGCCTCTGTCTGTCTTAGCCCCAATCGGGCCAGAACCATGGCAACTGCACAGCCTGTTCCTGAAGCGGATGGCCACTGTGGTCCCAAGCCAGCAGCCAGCAGGAGCGGATTAAATCTGCTCCTAAAAGGGCTGTCTCTTGCCAGCTTGGCACAGCCACAGTGTGGCTTCCAGCAACTTCAGGGGCATGTATCATCTAAACGCCATGCCCCTTAAGAAGCCACTTGATTTGGCCAGCGTGTTTCTGGCGTCAGGCTCAGGACTCATTTCTCCAAGGGATCCATGTGTGCTTTTGGTTTTTCCATGCTGCAAAGTTTAATCCCTGGGTGTATAAATGCTTTATTTGTTCATAGGAAACTAAATAAAATCCTGCTATAAGTGCTCAGTGTTGATTTTTTCATTCTTTTGTCTATCTTATTTGGATGAAATCCTCAATCAGTATTTTTGCTTGTATTTTGAAAAGTAGTATTAATAATTACTAAAATATCATTTTGAAAAGCTGCCTGGCGGAAGATTAAAATAATTTTATTATTTAAATAAATGTTTATGGAAAACCCTGTTAGATAAAAAAAAGCCGTCTTGTGAATAGAAGGTTACATTGCATTGCACCATGAGACAACAGGTGAGAGAGAGAATGAAGGCTATGAAAATTGGTAGTGAATTGTTCCTGTAATTTTTTAGTATGTCTGAACTGCTTTGTTTGTAAGTATATATGATTCCTAGAACTATTATCTCTAGGGAAAATTCAATTATAATTTTTTAAAGAGTTCACTGGTATATCAGTTCCAGGCCCCTAATTTGTCTTGTATTTATTTATAACATTGCTAATAACTTTGTGAAACATTTCAAAGACATAGCCATCTTTGAAACATAGGGCCGAAGCAGACAGCCCAAAAGGAGTGGACAGAGGCCGCTCCGGCCATGATCATAATCTTTAGTGGTCATAAAATTCGGGGACCAAACTAACTGGGGAAATATGCAATCTGTACTTTTCTGGTTAAAGTGTTTTGTATGCCTAAGTATAGGAAAGAGAAAGATAAACCAGATTTTGATTCAAGACAAGGATATTCTAGATGAGTGAATTCCAAAGGTCGCCCCAACTCCACCCCAAGTCTTGCCCTTTAGGCCGGTCTGCACCGGCCCTATGTGTGTTTAGGAGTACAGTCTAAAATACACTCATTCAGAACAGTGTGCATTTACCTCAGAAGAAAATGAGAAATTGCCAATTTTCTTGGTTCCAAAATGAATACAGAGATAATCCTAAACAAGATTTTTCTGATTTCTGTAACTCAAGTGCCTTGAGGAAAATTGCAGTCAATAATTTCTGGAAGGGGGAAAAAAAACTTTTAGAGAAGTGTTGAGAAATGTGATTTCATCATAAAATCCCACTTTGGGTAATAAATAGATCCATATTTACCATTCAATAAAATAACAGCTGCCCCCTCTTGCTTTTTCAGTTATACTTCGTCTTACTGTAATAATATAAGCAGCCTGTATTTGATGTTCAGCTGACTTTCATGAAATGTGTGCTGGCTCATGTAATATAAGAACATACTTGTCTGCAACACAACAATGGCTGTTGGGCAACAGCTATTTCTGAGATTTAAATCTTCCCCACCCGCCCCAAGATTGTGACCATGGGCCTGATTAACAACAAATATCTGTTAATATTATCTTCAAGTAATATATCTGTACCTATAAATACAAACTAAAGGCTAATTTGGGATTTCTGTTTTGCAAAATTTAAGTCACTGAAGCCTGAAGAGAGTGTTTGTCAAGTTTAAGGGTGATACTAAAGTATAAAGCAAAAATCTTTGTAATACCAAAAGCTTTGGCACTGGCAGATTCCAAGTGAGAAGCCAGCTTTACTGTAAATGAAATGATATGCCTGAGAGAGAATATAAACTGTAAATGAAATGATATGCCTGAGAGATTGGCTTACAACAAACCCAACTTTAAAGAATTATTGTGCTGACTTAAAAGGTTATTGCTGATGCAATCTTATTGAAAGCAGCCAAGAATCACAGGCCTCTAAGTGTTATAGTACAGTCTCTGACTGGATAAATAAAATGTTTATACAGTGGGCCCTTGGTATACGCTGGGGTTTGGTTCCAGAAACTCCCATGGATACCAAAATCCATGGATGCTCAGGTCCCATTATATACAGTGGCATAGTAAAATGGTGTCCTTTATATCAAATGGCAAAACCAAGGCTTTATATTTTTGGGCTTTATATTTTTTTGAATATTTTTCAAGCTGTAGATGGTTGGATCTGTGGGTAAACAACTGTATAAATAAATTAAAATTGCTTACATAAGAGGAGGCTAGTAACAATAAACCTCAGAGAGAATATAAACAAATGGTCAAGGTGGTGTAGTGGTTTGAGTGCTGGACTACAACTCTGGAGACCTGGGTTCAATTCCTTGCTCAGCCATGGAAACCCACTGGGTGACCTCAAGCATTTGTCTTGCTCAGGGTGCTATGAGTACATTATAAGCCAACAAAGCATTTTAAGAAAGAGTGGTTCATCTGAAAAATACAGTTGAATACCTAACCTTGGGCAAATCACACTGTTTCAGCCTCAGGGGAAGGGAATGGCAAATGTCCTCTGGATGAATCTTGCCCAGAAAACCCCATGTTTGGTTCACCTTAGGGAAATAACTTGAAGGCACACAACAACAACAACAAAGTAAAAATCTATCTCTGATTGGAGACCTGGAAGGATATAAAACTGGTTCAAGAGAGACAATAGCCAGATTGACTCCAGCATCAGTCTCCCATGTACAAAGACATCTGTTCAAAACAGCTCAGATGCCAATCCTGCTGTTCCTAGCTGGTAAGACCCACACCATGCCAGTAAGAGAGAACCTCATCGCTCAAACAGGCTAGATGGAATTCTTCTCTAAATAGACACGTGCCCATTATTAATATAATGTCTGCCTTTTATGGATGCTTGTGACTATATAATGGATGCTGCTGGATAATAACAATATTCAGGGCATTTGCTCAACTACCAGTGATGGTATATGGGTTAACTCAATATATTATGTAAAATGTAAGATGCCTTCCCTGCAGTGTAATGTATTGAGAGGAAATGAGTCAGAGACTTGGTTGGGAGAGAAGCTAGCACTCATTAGTTCTCTATATAGCTGCAGCCTCAGATCCTAGAACTGGAGCTCAGCGAAGAGGTGAGGCCAACAGACGTAGATTTAGCTACCCTCGTGTCATACATTATTGTATCAACCAGTCAATCTCGTTTTTCAGTTACGCAGAACATTTTCATTCACAGGTTTGTGCCAGCTTCCATTACCTTTGCAAAATTTTTCAGTTCTCCTTATGAATGGATAATGGTGCCCTCTAGTGTGTATAGTATACACTGAGGTACAAATAACATGATGCAGTAGCTAGGATCTGCAAAGCAGGCTGCTAAGTGCAGCGAAGCAATGGTTACAAGCTGGCCACCCAGACTCAAAATACACATCCAGCTTGTAACCATGAGCTTCTCTGCACATATATATTCATTCTCTGTTTTATTTGTGGCTTTATTAGTAGACATTGTCTAGGATTGGCATTTCTGCTCCTTTGCATGATGCCTAGAAATTTAGCAGGCAAAGATTTTCATGACTTGGAAATAAAGATTTAAATGAAACTGGATAAATTTCTAAAGACTTAAGGGGAGGGAAAAGCTTTGGCTGCTTGGATTCTTAATTCCAAGCTACAGTTAAGACACAAGAGCAGAGACAATTTTATGTTTTTTTTTAATCGATAGAAAGAAAGAGGAAAACATGTTTTATTTATAGCTTTACAACACCCCTCAACTTTGTAGTTTTTGTTTAATCACAGCTTGAAATACAGCTTTCATCCTATGCATGTTTATCTGATAATACCATAAGTCCTAGTGAATGAAGTAGCACTTCTTACAGGACTTATATACAGTGAGACCTTGGTATCCATTGGGGTCTGGTTCCAGGACACACACAACCGCCGTGGATACTAAAATCCAGAGATGCTCAAGTCCACTAAATACAATGGCATAGTAAAATGGTGTCCCTTAAATAAAATGGCAAAATGAACCTTTGCTTTTTGGAATATATATACAGTATATATATATATTTCAAGCGGTGGATGGTTGAATCCATGAACAAAAAAAACTGTGGCTATGGAAGGCCTCCTTACTGTACACAGCCTTGACATGGTTTGACTGTTAAAGGCTTAAGGACAGGACCACCCTCTTTTACAAAGAGAACAGAAAAGAAACAGATTTTTGATGACCTGGTGGTTGTCCACACTGGCAAAAGAAGAAGAAGAAGTTGTTTATACAACGCACGAGTCTGAACTGCGGTGAAACCTCAATAAAGCCAAGCTCGGGTGAAAAACCAGAGCAAAATAGGCCCCTTTCCTCTGCTGTAACACATAAAGTGCAGATTATTACACCAGTGTACAACAGCATGATGCAAGTGTGAGAAGGTCCAGTTGGCTTACAGAAGTGGTATAGAACATGTGCCATGAGCCCCATTAGATGCATCCATCAGTATCATTGCTCACCATATGGTGTTTTTCTTTTGTTGAGCACACAGGCACATGAATGGCCAAATGCACGATCAACCCATCACACCAGCAAGCCATCACACACCCCGTGAGGCAAAATTACAACAAACATTACAGGTTGCCAATAATGCAATAGATGTCATAAAAATATACACAAACTGGCCAGTCCAACAGAGGCCCATGGGGTGAAGAGGGGGAAAGATGGTATGTATGAGGGGTCTCCATGATTGTGCTTTGTCAATGTGTCACTGCATGCACTGAGGCACTATATAGATGGTGTATTGCTCATGCGACTGTGTGACAGGTAACACAGGCATCTAATGGGACAAGGGAAGTAATTGGCGCTCACAGGCAGTGTGTTCATATGATGATGCACACGCATGAGGGAAGATTGAAAAAATAATCAAGCAGCACAGCTTGACATTGCATGGTGCGGACTGCCTGTGGATGTTCAGCCCATCTTGGAAGTGGACTGTGCAGACAGTTCAGGTTGCAGCTGAATTGGGAAAATCTGGGAATGACCTGGTTTTTCCTCCCCATCTCCTCAACCCCCCTGGAGACTTAAAAACTCTCCCTAGGATTCAATCTTCCTTGGAAATAAAAGAGAAAAAAAAGGAATAGCTCCATCTTCTGAAGAAGTACCATTTACCATCTGGTAAAGAGACTGTATTTTAGGGGAAGGAACTGGCCAAACCACCTCTGAATATTCCTTGCCTATGAAATTCATGGGGTCATCATAGATTGTCAGGTGACTTGAAGGCACATACACACAGAGAGACAGATTTACTATTAGATGGTGGGCTGAAGTTAAAGTGGGAATTTCCCTGTCTTTATGCTGTAGATCTTAAGTGATCATTTTCTGAGAGTATGTTTTTGCCTAACCCACTGGTTCTACACATTATTATTATAAACATGTAAATGGGACTTAATTTGTTTTATTCGTGCCCAAAAATCCCTTTGCAGTCAGAAAAATAAGCTTATATGATTCTAACTTTTGTGCTCAGTTGTATATCTTTGCATTTTAGAATCTTTTCTAGTTCTTTCATAGCCACACTCCCCATTCTTAGTTTTCTTCTGATTTCCTGACTGCAGTCCCCATTTCTATCAATGTTTGATCCCAGGTATGGGAATTCTTTTACTATTTCTATTTCTTCATTGTCTAGGTTGAACTTGTGAAGATCCTCGGTGGTCATTATTTTTGTTTTCTTTATGTTCAACATTAAGCCTCCTTAGCACTTTCTTCTTTGATTTTCCTTAGTAGGTATTCCAGGTCTGTGAGGTTTTCTGCTACTACTATGATGACACCTGGATATCTTAGATTGTTGATATTCCTTCCTCCTATTTTCACTCCTTCTTCTTCTGTGTCCAAGCCTGCTTTTCTTATAATATGTTCTGCATATAAGTTGAACAGATAGGGTGAAAGGATGCAGCCTAATCTGACTCCTTTGCCAATTGGGAACCATTCTGTTTCTCAATGTTCTGTAGTGACAGTAGTCTCTCATCCTGAGTACGTATTCCTCATTAGGACTATCAGATGTGTTGACACTCCCATGTCTTTAAGGGCGGTCTACAGCCTTTCATGAGCTATGCAGTCAAAAGCTTTGTTATAGTCAATAAAGCACATGCTGATTTTCTTTTGGAATTCCCTGGTGCGCTCCCTTAGCCATCGTAGGTTTGTAATGTGGTCCCTAGTGCCTCTTCCTTTCCTGAACCCAACTTG